GAGGCTCAGGCAGGAGAATTGCTTGAACCTGGGAGGCAGAGGTTGCAGTGAGCCGAGATTGTGCCACTGCACCCAGCCTGAGTGACAGAGTGAGACTCCATCTCAAAAAATAAAAATTAAAAAAAAAGTGGCGGCAAGTGGGGCTGAAGGACTTTTACTTCTTCTGTTACACTTCAGTACTGATGGAAGTTTTAAGATCATGCATGTATCTTACAGCAAATCCACAAGAAATTATGCACTTAATTTTTCTGGGTGAATTGTGTTGTAGAGGCAATAGAGAATTATTTACGTTTCTCCTTTTTCTTTGTTTTCCAGATAGCAGACCCCATGCTAGCTGAAATGGGAAAAAACTTGAAGGAGGCAATGAAGATGTTGGAGGACAGTCAGAGGTGAGCACTACAGAAGTGACCTGTTCAGCTAGTTCAGCCTGCTGCGAAGCTGGTGGCTCTGGCTTCCTTCTGTTAAAGATACCTCTTGGCTTCACAGTGTCACACATAGCTTCTACTGACTTGAAAATTGGTATTTGTCTTGAGTAAAAGGTGCCTTGTAATTAAAGGATTTTGAAATTGAGAGGAAGGACTTAAAATTTTTAAATCTGTCTGTTAAGAGTTTCATTTACTTAATATATTGATTTGACTTTATAATTACTTGTTATATATTCAGGTCATATAAAGCACCAAGTAAATAAGAAGTGGGTGGAACTTTTTGTGCATATTCTTATCTTTTCCGGAAACTCAAACTATACCTAAAACTAGAGGCAGGGAGATCTGATACATGTGTTTCAAATCCTGCCTCAATCACTAAGAGATTATAGGCAACATAGTCATGTTTGCATGTTTAGGAGTTAGAAATCTGATATGATGAAACAAATGAACACTTTTTGTTTTCTTTAAATTAGAAGAACAGAAGAGGAAAATGGAAAGAAGCTCGTGTCAGGGGATATTCCAGGGCCACTCCAGGGCAGGTAGGTGACAATGAGGATCCATACATTTAGTTAAGGTGTAAATTTTTGTTTGTTTTTGAGATGGAGTCTTGCTCTGTTGTCCAGGCTGGAGTACAGTGGCACAATGTGGGCTCACTGCAAACTCTGCCTCCTTGGTTCAAGCGGTTCTCATGCCTCAGCGTCCTGAGTACCTGGGATTACAGGCGTGCGCTACCACACCCGGCTAATTTTTGTATTCTCAGTAGAGACGGGGTTTCGCCATGTTGGCCAGGCTGGTTTCTAACTCCTGACCTTGACCTCAGGTGATCCACCTGCCTCAGTCTCCCAAAGTGCTGGGATTATAGGTGTGAGCCACCACGCCTGGCCTACTTTTCTTAAATCAGTATCTTACCATCATTGATTTATGGTTTTAGTTTTAATGAACACGTAACAAATTTAAATAGACTTCTGTGCAGTATAACATTAGAAAACAGAAGTACCATTGGCTGATTGGTGATATTGCTGCACCTGCTGGCTTCTCTCCCTCTCCCGTTTGGGATTCAATACAGGCTGGGTACAGTGGGTAATACCTGTAATCCCAGCACTTTGGGAGGTCACTTGAGCCCAGGAGTTCAGTGTTCACTGTCATTGTGCCACTGCACTCCAGCCTCAGTGATAGAGACTCTAAAAAAAGATTTTTTTTTTAAACCGACAATTTTATGCAACCTCATGACTCAGAAATGATACATGGAGCCAGGCACAGTGGTGCACACCTGTATTCCCAGCTGCTTGGGAGGCTGAGGCAGGAGGGTCGATTGAGTTGAATAGAGGCTACCCTGACATCACGAGACCCTATCTCTGAAACAAAATAAAAGTGATATAAAAATTCATCCTAATGACTGGTAGATCATACTTAGTTCATTCTTGAAACCTGTAATCTATTTGGTAGACTGAGTTTTATTGTAAGAGCTATTTTAATTTGATAAGATTTATTTCATAATACAGTAAAGAAAAGGAAAATGTCAAATTTTTTAATCACTTATTGTTTGTCAACTGAAGCAAATCTGTCACGTCTTCCTCATTTGAGCTAGCATGAAAAATAGCAAGAAAGTAATTAGCTGACTAAAATATTCACAAGATATTAGCAGTTAATCTGGGATTGATGACCCAGCCCACCTTCCCTGATACAACTTATTATTTTTTTTTTCCTTTTATAACCAGGAAACTGCATAAGTAAACAGTACAACTCCCTTAAATATCCTTTGACCTGAATGTAAATTGAACCAGGTTGCAAAAGAAAAGTATGGAGGAAGGCTCACAGTGTGCCAGTGAATGTCACATCTAACACCCTGAGATACTAATACTTTAAAACAGTCACTCTTATTCTTAACGTGAATAATGCCGCCTGAAGCGAGGCCTGAAGTGCATTCTCAGGTCAGAACAGGAAGCAGGGCCTATAAAATCTCCATCCAGGCCTATGGATGGAAACAAAAGGCTTTAAGGTTTTAGTCTCCTGATTCCACTGACATTTCCCCAGGAGAGATAACTCCCAAGAGCATCTGTAATTCTCAAAATGACAGCACGTTAAGCCACTGACTGGGAGGAATCACACTTAGGAATGCATTCAAGACTGGTAACCTCCCAGGCACAACTGAGTACCATACTTTCACGGTCTGAAGCCTCTCACGTCCATAACGTCCAGCTTGACGAGTTGGAATAGCATGTTCAGGGTCATGTGGCAGGTAGCCAAGGGCCTCTGCCTGCCCTAATCTCTACAGTGTCCAGGGCCCAGAGCCCCTCTCACTTGAAAGGCAGCACCTTGGGGACAATTGGTTTGGAGACATCATTTTGATGGTGCTTCCTTTGTTGAAAGAGGACGCATTTTATTGGTCTGTTCTCGTTAATGGAGGGATAGCTTTATGTTATTCCTCTTGCAAGTTGCCTTGCCATTGGTTGCTACTTCAGCCATTTGAATTCTTTCATAACTTTCCACCTCCTCATGTAATGAGCATTTCATAGCAACATATCTTGGATAGAAGTAAAATGTTTTTACACTTTAATCAGATCTCAAGTTTCACAGCTTGGGGAAGAGCTGGTAATAAATGAAGCTTACATTGTTAAAGGCTGTTACTCCCAACAGACAAGATTCATAAATGGAGGAAATTAGATATGCCAGTGGCATTGGAATAGTCTGTGACTGTCTGGCATTATAATATAATAAGGAATATGCTCATTATATATTATAGGTACATATTATAAGGACTTTTGGGTCTTCTTACATGCTTATTAAATACTCTCTGTCTTATACTCCAAGATTCAAATGAAACGTGTAGAAATGTAGCTAGAGCAAGACTGGTGGCTGGGCACAGTGGCTCATGCCTATAATCTGAGCACTTTGGGAGGCTGAGGCAGGAGGATCGCTTGAGCTTAGTGGTTTGAGACCAGCCTGAGCAACATGGTCTACCAAAAATACAAAAAGGCCAAGCACAGTGGCTCATACCTGTAATCCCAGCACTTTGGGAGGCCGAGGTGGATGGATCACTTGAGGCCAGGAGTTCAAGACCAGTCTGGGCAACATGGTGAAACCCCGTCTCTACTAAAAATATAAAAATTAGCCAGGCACTGTGTCGCATGTGTGTAATTCCAGCTACTCAGGAGGCTGAGGCAGGAGAATCGCTTGAACCCGAGAGGCGGAGGTTGCAGTGAGCCAAGATCGTGTCACTGCACTCAAGCCTGGGTGACAGAGTGAGACCCTATCTCAAAAAAATAAATAAAAAGACTGGTTACATTTATTAAAATGAAACTCATGTTTAGGTAGACGACTTATTTAGCTATAAGTAAGTTTATATCAGAATTTAGTTTATAATTTGAACTTTGTTTTTTAAAAAGCATAAAATGTGTACCACATTCTTTGTCTTATAGTTACTTAAGGAAAAAAAAACTTTTTAGCAAGGCTGGTTAGATGAGAGCAGTAACTTAGAGTGGTGGGGTATGTGTGTTGTTCCCACCAGCTTGTCAACTCCTTTTTTTCTGCAGTGGACAGGATATGGTGAGCATCCTCCAGCTGGTTCAGAATCTGATGCATGGAGATGAAGATGAGGAGCCCCAGAGCCCCAGGTAATGAACCTGGCAGCTGTTCTTTTCGAGTGTATGTATTCTTGATTTCAGTAGTGATTGCACTCTGGCAAGTGGCTCAAATAAGAAGCTCTATTTCATTGACTTTCATATGATACTAAAATATTTTTTTCATAAAGACATTTATATATAAGATATATTTTGTGAATTGAAGGCATTTACTGAAATTAGAACCCGTAGTTTCTTTGGTCTCGTGTCTTAGAGAGGGGTGGCAGAAGGACTAAAGAGTAAGCACTGTTCTGCTGCTGTGCTTCTGCTTCCTAAGAATTGCTGCACCTCCATTAATTAGTTTTCTCTTTAATTATTTTAATTTTAATGTTTTGAAATAAGTAAAATGTCCTATTGGTTCAAAATTCTGACAATAAAAAACAATATACAAAGGGAATTTTCCTTTCTACCTGTTTCTCCGTACCTGGTTTTCTTCTCTAGAGATAAACGTTACCAGTTTCTTGTGTATGCTTCCTGGGAGATTTTGTATGTATTATACGAAAGGAAAATGTCCATGCCCACCCTCTCTAAGACATAATTACTACGCATATGTTCTGCACCTTGCATTTTTTCACTTAAGTCTTGGAGCTCATTGCATATTCATGCACAGTAGCTTTCTCCTTTGTCAGAGCTGTGTATTTTACTTGGAACTGATGAGCCATATTTTATTTTATTGGTCCCCTGTCATGTTTCACTGTCACTTTTGACATGTGTTCCTTCTCATAGAAGCAAGTGTGTCTTGAGGACAAAGTCCTGAAAGTGGGATTGCTGTCTCAGACAGTGTGTACTTGTGTAATTTGGATCGATCCTGCCAAATTTCCCTCCATGGAGTTGTGGCATTCAGCAGTCCCACCAGCAATGTATGAGAGGACTTTATTCCCACACCTTCGCCTGCAAAGGCGTTGTCAGACTAAGTGATCTTTGATAAGTGATATTCTCATGAGAAATCTGATAAGCGTTTATAATGAACCAAGTGAAGTGTCTTTTTGTATGTTTTAAGACCCATTTATATTTCCCTTTCTAGGAACTGGCTGTTGCCCATGGTCCTATTAGTCTATTTGTCTCTTTCTTATTACTTACAGTTAACAATTGTAAACTTTTTCCTCCTTATTTACAGTTTTTCTTTATAAGGGAAATTAGTTTCAATTATATACCAGACATTTTATAAAATCAATTTTAATTACATATGAAATACCTAGTCCCCCTTGAATTTGCTGTATTATTGCAATAAACAATTTTTATTTAATGCAGAGACTTGGGATTTAATTCTTTAAAAAATGTTTTTGGCTCATTTTACCTTAGCCTACCCTCCGTAATTCCTAAGGCTGGTATTTAATCTTAAAAAATATTTTAACAGGGCTGGGTGCTGTGGCTCACGGCTATAATCCCAGCACTTTGGAAGGCCAAGGTGGGTGGATCACAAGGTCAGGAGTTCAAGACTAGCCAACATGGTGAAAGCCTGTCGCTACTAAAAA